AAGGTGTATTTGAGTCGAACGAGAGTTTAGGTCGCATTCTAATTGCTAAACATTGGATTGTATGCTCACTAGGGGAGGTTGAAGCACTAATTTGTTATGCGCGGAAGAATGGACTAAACAACGTTCTTTGATAAAATTATTTGAGTTGGAAATCGCACGAAGGAGAGGAATTTAATGTGTGAAAAGTTTCAATCGCACGGGGGCGAGAAAAGAGTTGGAATGGTTGAATATTTTAAGGGAGAATGACGACTACTCGATAAACAAGACGTCAGTCTCGCAACTAATTAGTCGGGATATTGTTGGAATGCTAGATCCCAACGACACATTTTTCATCAAATAATTATGAAATTGTATTTGAATGGACAATGGCGGTATTTATCCAAATAATTAAGGCACGTATCTTATAGACGAAAGGTCGAGCAACCCACAACCTAAAGCGTACGCCCCAAGAGTGGTTACTCAAGAATTCAAGGAGTGTGAGACTCCAAGAACTCAATTATTTCGTAATATAGTTAAGAAAATAATTTTTGAATTTGAAGTACGGTTTAGAAACGTACTAGGATTAAGACTCTATCGCACGAGGGTGAGGAACGAGGTTAGACGGGTTGAAAATTTGGAAGGAATGACGACTATTCGATAAGCGAGACGTCGGTCTCGTAATCAACTAGTCGAGATATCATTGGAATGCTAGATCCCAACGATATATTTTTCATTCCATTAATTATGAAATATGTTTGTTGGACAGTGAATACTTGTCCAAATGATTAGAGGAAGTGTTTTAGGAATGAAAGTTCAAATGACATACTATTCAAGGCGTACACCTTAATAGTAATCATTCTCGAATTCAAGGAATGTGCGACTCCAAGAACTCGACTCTTTCGTAATTTAATTAAGAAAATAATTTGAAAATACTAGAGTGTGTAGGTTAATCTAAGGGTAGGAATATCACTCGAATTAGGGTTCTCCCACTTTGGAGGTTTAAACAAAGTTTGGTAGTTTTGGCGATGAAAGACGAAACGACCACAATTCAAGGCGTACACCTCGAGAGCGGTCGTTTAAGGATCCAAGGAGTACTAGACTCCAAGGATCCACCACTTTCATATAAATTCAAAAAGGGATTTTACTTATTCTAAACTAAAAATAAAATATTTTGAACTTAATAGAAAAAGAATATAAATTTGATAAAATTTTAAATAGAATCTAAATAAAATCAAATTGTAAAGCAAACATCAATTATCACAATTTATAAATAAAATCTAAAAAATAAAACTAATAATATTACTGATATTACTAATAATATTTAGTTTCTAAAGTGACCCCATTAAGGTTTAATTACACTAATTAACACTAATCACTATTATAATCATTAATACTGCAAGTGATGATGGGTAATAGGCTAATGGGTTGAAATCCTCAAAAACATGGCTCGATTGGCCCAAAAATCCTAAACCCTAAGTGCAAAAAAAGAAAGAAAAAAAAAGAAGGGATAAGCAAATAATGCCACCGCTGTCTTGCGGAAATGGGAAGAAAGTAAGCCATACTCCTTCCCTAGACACGCATGGCCTACAACATTGATGACAAGTCACCACGTGTGAGGCATGCATCCCAACCTCGGTCACCTGAACAACCTCAATAAGTGGGAAATGAACCTAGTGAGACCTACACGAAAAGTGATTCCACGGTCGCATCGGCTTGAGAACATAGTGTCGGTATTTAAAAGTGCGGATGGAATCCATTAATGCCTGAAATAGTCTCCTCGGCTGCTTCAAAGACACCCAGCTGTGCCGACCCTCAAATGTTTGTCGTTGAAGATGGAAGATGCAGAAGAAAAGAGTGAGCGGGGACCCGACGTTGAGATGCCGAAAAACGAGCTCGTACGTCCGCTCAAACGTGATTGTATTAGGGTGCAGTTGAGAGGGCACCAGCCGCAGCCAGTCAAACACTCCCCATTGAAAACCAGTGAAGGGCAGACGCAAGCCAGCTTCTCGAAAGGTAAACTCGTACATGGAAAACATCATCCCCATAAAAGCTAAGCATATCTGATGGTTTGATCGGGGTTTGTACACTTTCCAGTTCAAGGGAGAACTCTCACAACGATCCTCGACCGTAGCGTAGGAGTCAGACTCATCCACGACAAAGCGGGAAGAAATACTCAAGGGCTCCTGCCCGGCATAATCCATGATAGTCTGTTTTTGCTATGCGCCGGTCTGCGCTACCGGGGAATCAGACCCGTCATCAATATCAATGACCCCCTCAATCCAAGCAGTCATTTTCAAGTGAAAATTCGAGGAAAATAGTGAATTCGACACTCCAGATCAAATCCACCCTTCCACCGCAGATCAAGTGAAAGGGCGAATAGGGGGGAACCCCTAAGGGGAAAGCCTCCCCCGCCTCGACAAGTGAGAAATGGGTCACCGAGACTTTCATCTAACGTCCCCGGGTATCCCTTCCCAGTTTCTCGAGACCTTCATCAGGTCCCCGAGGCATTCATCTTATGACCTCGAGGCATTCATCCTATGTCCTTGGGGGCTTCATCACCGACCCCCGAGAGGTTCATCCAAAACAATACTAGTAATTCAAAGAAGTTTCGATGTATTCTCCGGAAACTTCATAGTTTCCCTGAGACATTTATCAAGTCCACCAGAGAAACCGTCGAAAAATGGGAAAAAATGAGAGTAAAGATGCATGACTTACTTGGTACGACAATTCTAGGAGGACAAGACGGCGGCAGACGGTGAACGTCTGGGAGTAGAGAAGGGAGGAGCGTGAAGAGGAGAGAGAAAACGTCTTGAATGGAAGAAGGGAAACATGAGAACGAAATAGACTCAAACCTATTTATAAACCTAGCATGAGACTCGAGGCGTCCCTAGGCACTTGAGTGCCCCTACCCCTAGTCGCCCTAGGAATTAATTTCCCTGACACGTGGCACCACCAGACGCTTCACACTCACTCATCTCCCTCTCGTGCTCAGAGGTCAAGTACGTCCGCTCGCTTTCCACCTCCCCGACATATTTTCTCGCCGAGCATCCTCCGCTCCTGGCCTCGTACGCGACCTTCAATTCTATGCATCATGCAAGCTACCCTCTTTCGAACGGGTCCTCAACACCCTGACCTACCCTTAAGTCATTACTCTTCCACCTAGGAGCAACGGCTTTAGGGGCTCTTGTTCTGGACTGGGCCAAGACTTGCTCCTCATCCGGGCAGGCCCAACCCAACACTACACTAATGAGGCCCAACAAAGGCCCAATCCTCCTCTATCGGGTACATACTTCAACAAGGCACTTTAGTCAGGTAGAGTATTATCTTGTCGGGGAGAGCTCACACGCATTCTCCATGTTCTCCATGTGTCCCCTATGTAGGGGCATGTCATCAGGCAACTACCCACTTTCAAAAGAGATTATCAGCCCACCTTCCGAAGATCACGGGGCAGTTGATCCAGGGCGAAGACCACATGTTGATCTTCACTAAGCCACGTAAGTCCTGACAGTTACTTGTGTTAGGCTTGACAATCCGACCCAATTTAATGTAGTCGTTGACCCTGTGTTGGAGGCACATTATAAATATCCTCTTTCACTAGAGGGTCAGATATCTTATTCTCTACACATATTCTCTTTGTACTTGCTCTTTCAAAACTCTATTAGCCACTTAAGCATCGAAGTGCCTTGCAAGTACACTCCATCTTCCTCTACAACACCGGTGAATGCAACAACTCACAACGCGTGGCAGACTACTGATTCCTTTATGATCAGGTGAGATCACCTCTTAAGATGATCTTATATTTTTATTACTTCGACACAATTAGTACACTTGCTTTTTTCATAAGTGCCTCTTCCTATTCCACATGTGTTTTCGCCTCTTCCTTGGCCTCTAGAAAATCTACCATCTCTAGAAGACTCGCAATTATTTTGAAATACTAATTTCTCATTATTTGGATCGAAACACGCTTTCAACTGACTTTTCGTTGGGCCTTGACAACGTTTGATAGTCATGGTTGATAAATCCTTAGTTTCTTTTATAACAACCACCATAAGATCAAAGTTTTCAATCAAGCTAATTAAAATTTTATCCACAAGTCTACGATTTTTAAGTGTGTCTCCATGAGACTTCATTTGATTCACTAAATCAGTGAGTCTACAAAATTACTCATTCAAACATTCATTTTCTTTCATCTTTTCATACTCAAAATCTCTTTTTAAAGACATAAGTTTGACTATTCTCACCTTTGAATTTCCTTCAAACTAGTGTTTCATATGCTTCTTTGGTGTTTTTGCTCTCATAATTCTTAAACAATGGTATTTGAGACTCCTCTTTGAATCATCCCAAGAATTTTGACATTTGTGATTTTCTTCTTCATTAATTCTTCATTTTGTGCTACTCTATTAGTGGTATTCTAAAGGTGATTGAAAAATGATATTTTTCTTTTAAACGTCTCCCTTTTTATAGGATTTAATAGAGTTTTACATAGATATTTAGAGAAAGATTTACACACTTCTCTCTTACATTTATTATTATGACTTACCTAATTTATTTCTACATCTCTCTAAAAATCATTAATTAGTTAATACATGAATTTATATTACCCTAGGTAGATGCTTCTCACTTATATTGATGTGGTATACCTACACTACTTCAAGAACCCTGGTATGATTAGTGAGTATACATGGGATACTAATGCCCTTGCATTTTTATATAGCTAGTTGAATTATGCAATATTACAACATCAGACAGAGTAACATATGTAACATATCAATTAGATGATGCTCCTTCAGGTAACGGTTTTATTCAATCCAAACAAACCCTAAATCCAATGTCTAGTGTCTATTTGGTTATTCTGAAATAAACATTTCCTATGATAAAATGAAAACAAATACACCAAATACTTGAAATAAATTGAATTATTTTGACACAATCAAACTCAAATACCGTGCTTAAAAGATTACATCAATGCATGCAAATATAGCTGGATCACTCTCTGTCACATGCAATGTAACTAATGCTTGCTATTCACTCGCCTGTCTAGAGACCGCTGCGGCATCATCTTGCTCCTGAAGAAATTCTTCCAACAACTTATAGTCCAAGCAAGCCAGTTGATCTAGAATATCATCATTTTGTTGTTGTTGATAGGTAGAAGAAGAAGAAGAGTTAGGCAATGTATTATTTGCAGTTGAAGTAGTGTTTGGAATATAATAACTAGTAGTAGAATGCGCAAATTCATTAGGGAAGTTGAGAATGGCTTTGTGACCACGAAAATGAAAAGCAGCAGCATCATAAGCACGTGCAGCTTGTTCCGCACTATCAAATGTTCCAAGCCAAATACGAGAACCTTTTCTCGTTGGATCACGGATTTCAGCTGCAAACTTTCCCCAGGGTCTGATACGAATACCTCTGTATCGAACCACTGCATTGTTTCTATTATTATTATTATTTCCCTTTCCCTCCATTAATTCAGTTTTTGTTGTAGTAGTAGTGACTAAGATTAATAATTATAAAATGATAATCAATCTTAATGATAACCAATATTTATGCATGTACTATTTCTGGTAAGCTGAGCTTGACATTCTCTAGGGGTCGTAAGTGACGGTTTGAATTTCAACTCCATTTATTATATATAAATAAGTTGAATAAAAGACCAAATTGATATCTGAAAATTTGTTGCCTGAGTGTTCTTTTATTAGACAAAAATATATGTGATAAGGTCAGAGAGATACTGGTGTGACGCAATTGCTAGCCAATCTTTTGATAGAAGGAGTAAATACAATTAATATATAAATTAAAAAACTAATAAACCAAATAAATTCAATTCAATCTCAATATTTAAAAATGGTTTATAAGGTAAGATGTGTCATTTTCTATAAAAGTCAATTCAATCTCAATATTCAAAAATTGTTTTATAAAATAAGATGTGTCATTTTATATAAAAGAGTTTGATGTGGGAATATAAACGATAGAAGACACAAATTTCGATCAATAGATTTTGATATCATATAGAAACTGAGTTTACTTTATTCATCCATACAAAACCGATTTATAAGATAAGAGGTAAGAGTTATATTAATTTTTATGATGTTTTATGTAACACGGAAGGCCGACGAAGGCGAGGAGTGAACGCAGGTGCATAAGGCATGATAATAAGCGGCTCCTGACAGTTTCTAAGTAAAACATCGAATTCACATCAGAATGAGAGGAATCTTGAGGTTGCGTAGGTATGCGACTACATGATTGAAGGAAGACTTATACAGATTGATTGATATTATCTATACTAATAAGATGCATCTTCTTTTGGATAATCTAACAAATAAGAACTGCATAGTTAAGTATGTTTGACTTAGAGTAGTATTTGGATGGATGACCTTCTGGAAAGTTTCTCAAAAAACATGTGAGCGAGGACAAAGCATAGTGAAAAGACTTGTGTTGAATTGTGGGGTCAGTCGATAATTCTGAAAGTAGTCTAATGCATTACAAATGGTATCAAAGTCGAACTCTCCCAATACGATGTGGCTCGGGGACGAACCAAGTGAAATTTGGTGGACTTGTAACACCCGAGTCGACAAGGACGGGGAGTGGTCAACGATGCACAAGGCATGACAATGAGCGGCTTCTGCCGCCTCCAAGAAAAAAAAATCAAATTCACATCAGAATTAGAGGGATCCTAAGGTTATGCAGGCACGAGACTACATGGTTGAAGAAAGACTTATAAGGATTGATTGGTACTACATACACCAATAAGATGCATATTCTTTTCGATAACCTAACAAATAAGAACTCCATAGTTAAGTGTGTTTAACTTGGAGTAGAATTTGGATGGGTGACCTTCTGAAAAGTTTTCCGAAATGCGTGTAAGTGGGGACAAGGTATGTTGAAAAGATTCGTGTTGGATGAAGGAAAATCGCGATCTAAAACGCAGTTGAAATTAAAATTACGAATACGCATGATCAGTGATAGAGATGATTAACTCAATTTAAGTGCACCATATAATAACAACAACAACAACAACAACAACAACAACAATAATAATAATAATAATAATAATAATAATAATAATAATAATAATAATAATAATAATAATAATACTAATAATAATAATAATAATAATAATAATAATAAACATTATTATAATAAACATATTTTATTATCATTATTATCATATTTAATGACTATAATAATAATAGTAATAATATTAACTATTATTATTATAATATACGATGTTTCATATTTCACTTAAGTATATTGTACGGTGTTCCATAATTCTCTCAAGTACAACGTATCTTACAGTGTTCTTTATTTATTCTATCTCTCATCAATTTGTCCTTATATGTGTGACTATGTAAGTTCTCATGACATAAGCAAGTATATTAAATCATATATTTAATATAATAAACAGTGAGCAGTATTTAGCAACACATCACTGCTTCTCAAGTCTCGAAAATTTCATGTGATCTGACAAAACATTTTCGCGTTACTATTATTGTGTACAATTTGTCCTTATGTCTTTATTGAACACAAGACATAAATCGTGTCATCCTTGTCCAATTCAATATTGGACTCTTGGACATTTATCCTATTACGCAAGATGGACAAATTTCATCTAGGTCACTCATGTCCTCAACATGCTTTGTGGAGTACCCATTAACTGTCTTTATGGTTATCCAGTTATGGACAATGTTTGATCAACAATAAAGTACTCGACTCTACATCTAAGGTCCATAGTGGTTTCAGGTCGAAGGATGATATACACCACTATCACCATATGAGAGTAACTTATGACACTTTGCATAACATTCTATGTAGTACTCTCATAGCGGGTTAATCCGGTATAAATATTACTCCTAATATTCATACATATGTTAAGACTTGATAACTCTTTATCCATGATCCATGAGATATGATAATCAGTCTATATACATAATAGTCTTAATGTTTTAAGGTTATCCCACTTCACATTAAAGCTCGACTACAGATACTTTAAGAATAATATCTTTATATTTAATGGGATCTCATGATTAAGTCACACTTAATATTTCATTAAACATGTTAGTTATTCTAAGCACTTTATTATTTTGGCAAAACAAACATAATAAAGAAATACCTTTTATTATTAATAAATAATTTGATACAAGTAACAAAAGTATTGGCCTCTAAGACTTACACCAACATTGGATTGTTAGGTTAGTCAATAATCTTGAAAGTAGTATAATGTGTTACAAATGGTACCAGACCAGACCTCTCCCAATACGATGTGGGTTGAAGACGAACCAAGTGGAATTTTGTGTGCTTGTAACACTTGAGGCGGCGAGGACGAGGAGTGGTCACCGATGCACAAGGCATAATAACGAGCGGCTCCTGCCACCTTCTAGGAAAAAAAATCAAATTCATGTCAGAATGACAGGGATCCTGAGGCTGGGCAGATATGAGACTACAGGTTGAAGAAAGACTTATAATGATTGATTGATACTACCTACACCAACAAGATGCATATTCTTTTCGATAGCCTAACAAATAAGAATTTCATAATTTAGTCTGCTTGACTTAAAGTAGTATTTGGATGGATGACATTCTAGAAAGTTTTTTAAAATGCATTATGAGAGGTCAAAGCATACTGAAAAACTCGTGTTAGATTATGGAATAAGTCGATAATTCTGAAAGCAGCCTAAAACGTTACACTTTATCTTTAATTTATAGTGTATTATAAAAATCAAATCTCATATATCGACAATTCAAATCACTGACTGTTTATTTCTACACATCAAAATCAATAATATTAGATGTGGGAGTGAATTGACAAAAAAATGTTACATTAGTTAAAAATAAAATTTAATAAAAAGTTTATATAAAATTACTCCATTTGCTTTACAAGTTAGTTTTAAAAAAATAAATCAAATCAAACTCTAATTTTATTATATTACAATTATAATAATATTTAAAAAGTAATCATATTTATGTAAGTACATAATTCTATCAGGTTTGAAATACTTTTTATATATCCTGTAATCTAACTATTTTTTTTTAAAGATTCATTTTCAATTTTAAAACAATTTTTGTCATTTCTATTTAACAATATTAATCTAAGTTTTCACTTTTAAGTCGGAAGTATTTTCTCTTTTACTTGTAATGCAAACATTTCACTTTAATTATTAAATATTATCGATATCAATATGTATTAGATTAAAAATATTAATCTAATAATGTTATTTACATATAATTTTTAGAAATTGATAAACCAATAGTATGAAATCATGATGACGTTTTTGCTATGTATATTTAAGGGCTTATAAATTTTAGTTTAAATATAAATAAATATGTTCATTAATAATAAAATAAAGATTAAGTTGTTGTCAACAAATATTTTTTGATATAAAGTTGATACCATGAGAAAGTTAAGTTCATGCATTACGAAGAAAAGTGATGATGTCTGCTCACGCCATGATGATGCCCCGAATTTTTTTATATTTTAAAGTTAGGGCCTTGAACGAATGAGACTTGAGAAACAAATGGCCCAAACGTGAGATTTCAAAACCCTTAATCAATATGGAATTACTTAATTACATTGTATGAATTACTACCACACACCGTGAAAATACAATAATATTCTTAAATTTTGAAGATATATTTTTGAACGCATACAAAATATACAAAATCAATACATTTTTGAATTATACACCAAGTCAATGAAAAAAAAATACAGTGATGTATCTTTGTGTAACTTACGAATATGCATCTTCAGATGTTGTTTTATCAAAAATGCCCCAGAACTATTTCTTCTTCTTCATATCTAAACAAATACCTTCAAAGTTCTCAGACTCTCTTAACTCACATTATCTCAAAATCATCCAACCAACTTCAAAACTTCTTCTATCAACATCACGTCCATCAAAGAGCTCATTCAACACGGAAGTAAACTCGCAATTTGTAAGTTTTTGGTTTTTCTAAACTTTTTTGAATATTTGTATAAAATTGTAGAAATTGATTATTAGGTTATGGAATAGATAGTTTATATACGTTTGAAAGTTTATACATAATGTGAAACGTGTTTGATAGATAGTTTTATTCATCAATGCATTATTTTTGTTGTTTTGGGGGACTGCATTACCGCCATTAACGCTGATAAGACTTGCAAAAAATTTCGAAAATACATCTCTGAAATTTTCCAACATTTTAATTCCCAGAAAACGGAGACGCATCTATAGAGTTTTTCAGTTTGTATTCATGGTATGCTTAATGCGTTTGTAGAGAGATGACACACAGATACGCCTTCATTTCATTTACAACATGGTGAGATATCTATCGCACTTGACAATATCTCGTGCCAGCTACATCTTTCGATTAGGGGAAAATTTTAGATCATAGACGATATCTCGTGTCACCTGCATCACACTATTGAAGGTAATATTTCTTTGTCTTTTAGCGTTTGTGTTCCATTTTCATAAGACTTTTTTGCAACACT